GTGCAGCACAGTGCGCCACACAATAAGAGAGAGAGAGACAGAGACAGAGACAGAGACAGAGACAGAGACAAGGAGGGAAGGAGGGAGGAACGCAAAGTAAATGACATAGAATAGAGGAGAGATGTCACATCCCAACAATGAGAGAATGGAGCTTTTATGAACACTTCAGCCCCTGTCTACATATGGTGGGCTATATGCTTAGGAGCCATAACACAGTAATCCAGCTTTTCAACATGAATGCTAATACTGAGCATCATATGTTAGGTGCTCAACACAGCCAGTCACGATGTTAAATATCTGAGGAGAATTATCTAATTAAATGCTCAAAACAATGGCATGCAGTAGGTATTATTATTTCCAGACACTTTTACACCAAAATCAAGCCTTGGAACTGCTGCTCCAGGCGCTTTGAACATTCACAGCACACAAATATGAAGGGTATATATATCAAGTCCAAGGCATTGGTATTGAAAAGTTTCTACAATTTCTGAGTTTATGCATTTATTTTTCTAGGATGATTCTATAAATTGAGTAACATTATTTGTTCAGCCTCTCTAAGAATCTGAGCGGATTAAGAGTTCAGAAAAGAAAGGACTTTCTTTTTATGAAAACTCTAACCATTTAGGGGGAAGCAGGTGGAGAGCAGGAGGGTAAGTTGGTACAATGTTAAAACTATAATTATATATAGACATTATGAGAGTCTAGGTAACTGCATGTAAACTTCTAATGAAGCAAAACACCACCTTGGAAGTGAATCTAATTTCAAAACCAACTCATCTGATTGTAAGATGAAAAGCAGAGATCCAGGAAATTAAAAGATTTTCCCAGAATCATTCTGTGAGATCCCAGGCCTCCTAATCACTAATCCAGAAGTCTTTCCCCTTTTTCATTCTGTCTCATGACCTTAAAACAGAAGACAAAACAGATGGGACCAAATAGATTGGAGAAACATACCTTCTAAAAATAACAGACTGCTGAGGCATCATTATTCAATGTTCTTCCTTCTAGGAAGAGATGTGCCCTCAGACCAAATGCATCTGTGTGGTTCTTATGAAGATGATGCTACCTGGTAACGGTGTCTCTATCACAGGCCCTGCCCGTCCTCATCCACATCTTCCTCCATCACTTCTAAGGCACATATTTCCTTCAGAATATTACTCCTGTCAGTTAAGGATGTAAAAGGAATATTGTCCTTTCCTATATACATTTGAAAATAACATGCATAAAACCATGAGGCTGAAACAAAATAGGTAAATCAAAATTTTCACCCAAGATCTGGCAGTTTTGCTGACTAGTCGACATCATGGTTAACAACTTCACCATGCTACTTTCAAGATAAGCAATTACACAGATCAGCACATCATTCTTCTGTTGGGGTGGAGCGGACAGGCATTTTCCAGAGTTGTTGTCAGTTGACCAGAGTGTCACTTCCCATCCCTTTCCCCAACCTGCTTCTGAAATTAGTTAAAAGACAAGGAATAGCAAGAACTTCCTTGTAGAGCTCCTAAATAATCCCAGCTGGACAGTGGCTACAAAAACTTCCAGTATAGTGTGCTCAACATCCGTTCCAAATAGCTTTGAAAGGAAAGAAAGCAGGCTCAAAAAGAGAAAGTTCCACTTCCAATTTGCCATTCACTTGGAAAATGGAAACTAATTTCTTCTTTCATTCCCTTAGTGTGAACATTTGTGGATGTGTTTGCCTAGGATCCTCCCAGCCCTTGCTCTGACATCACCACTTCGATCTTTCTCTGAACACCACTCACCTCCCACACTCTGACCTGAAGGTTCAGAGAGGGAAGACTCAGCAAGATTCTTCCCCAGGTCCATGGGATAGACCTGGGCACCATGCTGGCCAATTTGCCCAGTCCTTCCCTCTGATGAAGTTATTGGTTCTCAGATGGTCATGGGATCCAAATGCCTGATTCAGGAATATGGATGGGATTGCTGGGAAAGAAAATTTGAGCTAGACAAGTGCACTGGGATGGAGAGAGGGGACAGGGGTACCAGGTGAAAAAAAATAGCTGAGAATGAAACCAGAGAAGTACAAAGCCAAGTGAAAGGATCAGAAAAGGATAAGAGACAAAGTCCTCACAAAAAGAAAACTGGAGGTTTCTTGTTGGCTATTAATGCTGCTCTAGCAATTCTGAAGCCATCTGGGGCATACTGTAGGATTGAAGAAAAAGTAAATATATCATGATGCTACTGAAAACCATGGGCCTCAATGAGAGAAGAGTATACAGATAAGCAGTAAACAGGAGAAAAGAACCCTCTGATGGGGAATTAGAATTACAGGGAGAGTAAGTTATTTTATATTATGGCAGATGTCTCCCCAAAGCCTCATACAGTCATAGTTGGGGCTTTTCAGAAGTGACTGGATCTAGAGGATGTGATACTGGGATTGATTCATAGTGTGGTGGTAGAATTAAGGTTTTCCACCCTGGGTGTGAGTGCTACTTAACCTAAGGATGTGGAAAGAGGGCTGCTATTGTCACTGCTTTTCACTTGCTGCTTTCTTGCTGCTTTGCTGCCTTCTGCCCATCATGAACTGTTTCTCTTCTGCAATGCTCCTTTGCAATGCCACTCTGCCATGACATCCTACCTTGGAGACAGCCGACTATGAACTGAACTATGAACTGAAACCTCTACAAACTATGAGTTAAATAAACCTTTCTTCCCTTAAGTTTGGGTGTTGGACATTTTGAGGAAATAGGAAAAGTAACTATGACATTTTGTTTCTTAACTCTGCTCACAGACAAAGTCCAGCAGAAATGACATCTTAGTAGCAATGGCATACCTACTGTTCAGGACTTATTTCTAAATCATATTCCAGTGAAAAGGAACCAGCGTTCCTAGAATAAATGAGAGGTCAGAGTATGTTAGTCAGCTTTTGGTCACTATGACAAAATACCTGAGATAAGCAATTTATAGGGAGGAAAGGTAAATTTGAGTTCATGGTTTCAGAAGTTTCAGTCCATGGTCACTAGGCTCTGTTGCTTGGGGCACACAATGGCACAGTATATCATGGCAAGAGTACATGGAGGAGGAATCAGGGTGACAAATAAAGAAAAGAGGAGAGTTCAGGTATCAATATCCCTTCAAGAACATACTCCCAATAAACTAATGAGAACTGATAGCTCCTCCTCCTATTAGCTCACCTCCCAATAGCACCACAGGCTAGGGACAAAGCCCTTACCACAGAGATATTGGAAAGACACGTAAGACTCAACTGTAACAAAGGGCTAAATTAGGAAAAATAAGAGATGCTTCTGGAAAATGTATTCGTGACAAAACACAAGTAAATGTTCAAAAACTGTCAAGAGGACACAGAAATCAGCTTGAAGGTGATCTCCATTCACAAAATTAGAACAACATAAGCATAAAACAATAATGATCACAACAAAATTTGATGGATAAGTACAAATAACAATGTTTGAGTCAGTGATTTTTTTAAAGTAAATAACAGAGGGGGAGCAGGAGAGGCCTTTTCTACAGAAGAATACCAGATGATAACTACAGAAACAGAGATTAAAGAAATCAATCTATTGTAACACCCAGTTCAATAACAGATTCTGATAAAGGTCATCAATAGATACTAAAACTACTGGAAGAAAGATTTGAGGGAACAGATGTTCACATGGTCTTGGGTTATTTATAAGTAGAAACAGATGCATTTACAATGGTGAACTGTGACAGACACTACCTTGACCAACTGATCCAGGTTAGCATTACCTTAAAGGGTAACAAACATCATATTGCTCCTGATGTTTTCACCAAATCTAAGAACTGAGAAGTGAATCTGCCAGGGTTAGAATATGGGACATTGTACAAGGCACCTGGCCAGGTCTCTTCAAAATCATCCCCACAAATGACAGCGATACAAAAGGCAGATGACTGAAACATAACAACCCATTGTACCCATCCCAATATATAAATCTTTATTGAGCCCTTAATTAAAAATAACTACAGAGGATTTTGAAGATAATTGGAGAATTTTGCACATGGACTGAATTAACATTAATATATATTATTTATTCATGCATTATACATATTTTTAAACGAATAAGCAACAATTGTCAATATATTTCAGTCCTGATGATGCTTGAAGCACACAAGAAAATATGTCTTCAACTCACCTCCCCAGTGGCATAAAAATCATTCTTTCCATACTCAGGAAACAACTGGAAAAACTGAATTAGTGCACTGCAAGAAGAACAAAACAAATGAATCAAAAACGTGAAACAAAACAATTTTATGTTATGCTACCAAATCTAACCCTTTGACAATAAGGGTTCCTATATGAAGTAAGATACTGTTCTGTTGTAACAGTATATCTGCAGGGCATATCTAAGCCTCATGTGCATAATAATACTACATTCTATGTGGTTAGTTAGAAACTATTGTGGGTTTATTTTACGATACTTAGTGGACAGAAATACTCCAGGAGATTTACAAATCTCTGCTTTCACCTATTTAGCATTTTTTCCCACTACTAGAGATTGAACCTAGGACCTCTGCACTGAACTACATTCCTACTTCTCCACTTTTTTTAGTTTTGAAATAAGGTCTCACTAAATTGCTATGCTGCCAAATTACCCAGGCTGGACTCCACCTTGCAATCCTCTTGTCTCAGATTATTTAGCGATCCCTTATGCAAAATTTAGAACCCCATTAACCTAGGTTTCTGGAGAAGCAGTAGGAACTCTAGTTACTGACCAACCCCTGTGGCAAGGGACCCTAAATACTGTATTTCTAATGGAACTCTCACAATATCAGTGTTTTAATAACCAAATAATCTAAAGGGAAACTAGCAATGATCACAGGAACTGAGGTGGTCTCTGAGCTCAGAAACAGAAAAGTCACATTTACTAAAGACTGCAGTGAGCTATGTGAAATAGACTTAAGGAATCATTTCACATTAAGCAAGAAAAGGTTGGATATTTAGATAATTATGTACTTGACCAAAATCTTTAAAAAAAGAGATAAAAATGCATGAAACTCAGATGTCCTATGAATGTTTTGACCCAGATTACAAGGCCTGAGAGGCTAGGGAGGGTTTCTAGCCCAGCTTCCTGCTGAGAGACTAACCACCAGGAAACATCAAGAAAAGATGAAAGGCAAAGAGGCTCTGTGAACCCAGGAGAGGGAGAAAGTTCAAGGGTTACAGGGAGGCAAAATTGGGTTATTACAACCACCATGATCCTGGCTATACTTAATTTTCAAAGGCCCCATAAAAATTCACCATGAAACACTACTGTGGAGTTTTGGTGCATTTCTCTATTTTATTATTTATAGTGGCCTTTGTAGTAACTAAATTTGGGAAGCTGCATTTTTATAGCTTCCATGTTAGTGCTAGAAATAAGCTGGCTTTAGAACAGAGATAAAAATAGGAGATCATCACTCTTGACCCTTCCCTCTCCTGCCCTCAAACTAAAGACTACTTTCTTTATATTATCCTGCTCGTTGGAAAAGCAACAGATAATTTAATAGAGTAAATCTCAATAAAGGTTTGTGCTTCAGCTGAAGGCTTATTTCCTTGGAGTAGTTGTTGAAGAGTAGTTAGGATTGCCAGATTTAGCAAGTTAAAATACAAGGTGTCTAATCAAATGTGAAGCTCAGATAAATAACATTTTGGCATGAGTATATCCAAATATTGTCAGGAATACTCTTACACTAAAAATTATTCATTGGCTATCTGAAATTCAAATTTAACAGGGCATTCTGGGCTTTATGTAGAAATCTAAATTGAAGGAGTTAGTCTCTCAGATACTTCTAGCTAGGAAATGCTAAAATTCTCTAGCTGAACTTTCTAAAGCAAGAAATCATGAAGAAGTTATAGAGTTTTTAATTTCATATCTAATCTATTTTTAAAAACTGACATTTTAAAAAGCAAGCCCTATATGGGTCTTTTACATAGAAGCAAAGAATGAAAAGGGCTAATTTAGTAAACTAGATTCACATATGCCACTGAACTAAATTAACTGTATTTTAACTTGCTCATTTAACTGTAATTCATTCCAAGGCTCTTCTTACTCATTGGTGAGGGTCTACTTAAAAATAGAATCCAGAATCATGCCTGTGTGAAACTGCAAATTCTAGAAAGAGAACTGCTCAAATAGATAACATATACATATATATTTCTATGCATTTGTCCAGGTGTAAGAATAATATTGCACAGAAGGCAGCATCTTCCAGGTGATTCCTTCTGCCAACCTTAATAGCATTATGAAAAGGACATATCTATAAACAGAATTTTAGTTAAAAGCTATCTGCTGGCAGAAAGATACACTAAAGGACAATAAAGAGAAACAGAGATTGCAAAGAAGAACGACCAGGAGACAATTACTTCTCCTTTTGAAAGAGGAAGTTGGTGGACATGAGGCAGAGAAAGTGTGTGGAAATGATCTTATACCACAGACCCAAAGTCAGTGCTGGAATCTGGTCAGTTCTGATGGTGTCAGGAGGATACTAAACACAACATTCGGGAGTATGGAGATTCAACGAATCTAAGCAGGAGCTTCACAGCAACCAAAGTCAAGCAGGTGTAGTTAAGGTTACTGAGGATGAAATGAAACAAACTCAGCAACAAGAATCTTGGTGGGTCTGTTGTGTTGGAGAATTCTAGAGGGGCCTTTTCTCAGTGTTTCTTTGTCCAGGGTGGCTGAGCTGTGCTCCTCTCCACCCTGTAAGATCACACAGTGCCTTCTTCTCACACAGGAAATCCGCTTCATAACTGCATTGCCAGGAATTGTCTAGCCAATCACAGCATTTCTCATTAGAAACCAACACAAAGACAGAATGACAGTAGCACTTTTATTTGGCTGCTGAGAAATGAAATCAGGTCCAACTAGACCCCAAGCTTCCAGAGGGCAGGGGCTGTGCAGCTGCTCACTGCAGATTTACCAGCAACAGGCATGGGGTCTGGCATATGGTGTGATGCCACTTATCACGAGTGGTACAAAGACAGTAGCACAAGCTAGGATGCCCAAATTAAAATGATACATTTATCATGTTTTAGTAAATTTTGTCTCCTGTGTATCCACAGCACAATCCAAGTAGAAAAACAAAAGGGAGAGAATCTTAATTATTGTGTTAGTTGAAAAAGTTGTATTTCTGAACACAAAGAAAACAGCATAAATGTGAATGGAAAAATAATTCCTTAGGAGGCTACTCCATACAATCAGGCACTGTTAATAGGAAAAAAGAATGGAGTTTTCAAAAAAAAAAATAAATAAAAAAGATGGTTTTCAAAGGGAGAAGAAGAAAGGTCTACTCTTTAAATCTGCAGTAGTAGCCCATTTACACATTTCAAAGCAACTTTCTTATTCCAAACACCCATCTGGAGAGCTGGAGAGAAACATGTAGTCACAAAAGGAAACGAGTAGTGTAAACTATAAAGGAAACAGCTGAAATCAGTTTTCTGCACTACCCTTGATTAGCTATTTTCCAGTTCTTAGAGCCTGAAGCAAAAAGAACTAAAACAGCTATAAACAATGGATGCTTTGAAATAGGTTCTCTTTACATGTCATGCAAGAGGAGATGTACCACATGTCAGCAGTAAATATCCACACTGAGGGTCAATGGGAAGCTGGGAGCATCTTTGAGGTGGGGGCAGACAGGGGCTTTTCACTGCTCTATCTTCCAGGGCATTGATGCATTTCTAATACAGAACCTCCGCCCTCAGGGTGTTTGCTAGTTAAACAACTGAGCTTGTTTAGATTTAAGCCAGAGAGGGCTGGAGTGGGGGTTTCTTATTAGAAGAATGAGAGCACACAGTACTAAATGAGAGACAGGACGCTTGAGTTAATTTCTGAAGCCATCATGGTCCTGGCTGTGGAGGGAGCAGGAGCTGGGAGAGGAAAAAGGAAAGGGGCTCTCAGTGAGGATTGGAGATATCCAGGAGCAGAGATGCACAGACCTAACTCCCCCTCTGAAATTGAAAGTATCAACAACACATGAAAAATGAAAATGGAGAAGACAGCAGTCATACACTTTTCTGGTTTAGCAGAGGGAAAGAGAGTTGTTTTTGAGACAAGGCCCAGAATTTTGTCTTTCCTCTCTCCCCAATCATCTATATGCCTTGGGAAGAAAGAACTGTAAAATAAAAAGCAATTTTCAGAGATTGTAAAATTCTGATTCTTATCAGATGCATTTTCACTTTGGGGATAGGCTGGGTTTGCTCAAGCAATAATTAGCAGAATATGGGTGGAGGTGGGTTGGGGCCACTGGTTAACTCCTGACCAGTGGAGTTCTTTTAGTAGATTATCAGGATACATCAAGTTGTAGGTACTCTAGTAACCTTAATGAATTCAGAACTTGGTCTTCAGACACAATTATAGACACAAATAAAAATACTTACAGTGGATATAAGAAAAAGAAGGGAAGAAATTATCTATATAACATATAATATATATGTATATATAT